TGATAGTTACCCCCCTGCGGTATTGTAAATTGTGAGTGCTTTCTCAAGACGATAGTAGCCCCTTTCGATATTGTAAATTGTGTAAATGAAGAAAGGCAATTCGTCATCCGGATGCATTAGGGCTCCTTTTGATGCTCTAAAGCTCTATGCACCCGAGCTATACCAGAAGTGTATTCAAATAGTGTTCCCTTTTGATACTCTAAAGCTCTATACACCCGAGCTATACCAGAAGTGTATTCAAATAGTGTTCCCTTTTGATGCTCTAAAGCTCTATGCACCCGAGTTATGTGAGAAGTGTATTCAAATAGTATCCCCTTTTGATGCTCTAAAGTTCTATGCACCCGAGCTATGTGAGAAGTGTATTCAAATAGTGTTATTTGTACGGGAAAATGACCCTTTTATAAGACTCCAAAGAGGAGACTTTAGGAAGTATTTTACATGCACACCATTAATCTCGATGACGATGACTGCTATTACCAGATGTGTGAAGTACAAAGTATACCATCAAGCACCCTTGCACTACATACGTACACACATGTAATATCACTCTCACTTTTGTACTAAGAGCACAAGGCATGAGAATGCCTACACTTGAATAGCACTCAATCAACACTCTCTTTTTCAATGTAGGACTAGAAACCCACAAGTTTCTCTCTCTATAAAATATAGTTTAGGAAAACCCTACGAAACCATATTATTATTTTAAAATACACACATGTATTTTTTAAAACAAAAAATACTAAGACTTGGCTGGGTCTCGTTTAAGGATTATGAAATGATCAAGAAAAAATTAAAAAGCAACGACGTCAGTATTTCATCCTTTGCAAAATGAGAAAGAAATCAACGCTTGCTATTTTGCCAAAAGATATTCTAGTCCCGCGGGTAAAAAATCTTACCCATAATTAATTTTAGGAACCATAATTTGGGGGATAAAGCCTCTTTAACCCAATAGGTCAATTTCAATAAAAAAAAATTCTAATTGTACCCTTTATACGCTGCAAAAAAATAATGTCTCGATATTGAATGAAGACCATCCAGTCTTTAGATGGAGTAAAAAATCGTACCCATAATTAATTTTAGGAACCATAATTTGGGGGATAAAACCTCTTTAACCAATAGGTCAATTTCAATAAAAAAAATTCTATTTGTATCCAAAAAAAATAATGTTTCGATATTGAATAAAGACCATCCAGTCTTTAGATGGTGAGATCTAAGAGTTAGAAAACTTAATTTTAAATTTTTTTTAGAATAATCATCTAATAATTCTTAAGTGGTTCCAAAGTTTCATATTGAAAAAAAATCTCCCAATTTGGTCTTTTGACAGAGGGAGTACAAATAATATATGCTCTTGAGGGAGCATACTACACATGACCATTTAACTATAAGAGCAATTTTTTTTTTCTTTTTGTACTTTTCAGTGCTACGAATTGTACCTGGTGTTTTTTTTTTTTGTTCGGTAGTTCAATTATAGGAATTGCGAATTGTACCTGGTTTTTTCTTTTCTTTGTTTGGTAGTTCAATGATAGGAATTGAACTTGAAACGTAGTATCGTTAATCATCAGGTGCTAGCCACTCAAGCCCGTCGTTCACTTTTTATCACTTTTCATTGACTTCTTAAAATGGAGAGAATTCATCGCTTTTAGTTCGCTAGAAAACAGAGCACCTGAGAATGAAATTAAAAACCCTAGTAACACGAGGAAATCCTTCTATGCTGCTGAAAAATTGAGTGTTTTTCTGCTTGAAGTTCACCGGAAATCTACGGTAATAGTTAAGTGAAGATGGTATTCTTGAAGAAATAACTGAAGAAAAGCATTAAGGCCAATTACCAGTCTCATTAAAATGAGAAGAGAGTCCGAGCTTAATTGGTTAGCGATTTGCAGCACTACGTCTTAAGTTCAATTCCTACAAAGATAGCGGCCCTCTCCCCACTAACTCACCCAAAAAAAACAAGTCTCATTAAAATTTCACTGAAAAATATCGTTGATCTTGGTCGATTTGAAAGCCATCGGTCAATTCTAAAATGTGATGCTCCTCGAACAATTTGAATAAGCTAAGGGGGGAGAGAGACCCTTTCTTGAGTCCATTCCTCTAGAGTCTGAACCTTCCTCCAATTTGTTTTGCTCAATGTTTGGTAACTCTGCTTGGCCACGTACTCGACCTTGGCTCGAACCGAGTTAGTAAGGTGATTTTGAGCGATGTATATTTCTAAAGAAGTTATTAATTTGAACAAAAACAAAAAAAAATTAAAAATTAAACAAAAAATTAGTTTCACTAAAACTAAACCATAGAGAGCACTAAAAATCTAAAATTGATTAAAAAGCATATAAAAAATGGAGTTTGGAAAAAAAAATTATTTTCTAATTGCAAATAATTCAGAGAATTCTTAGAAAAGGGGAAACATATAAAAGTATGGAAAATCATAAAATAATAATAATAAATCATCAACTAAATGATCACAATTATACAGAGACACGTTTCTACAATGATTCACTAGATTTGCCACGCTTGTGCACTGCTACTCGGCATGGCAATGTGCCGACAAATGGATTGGCCAAACTCTAGTTGACTCGACCGAGTGCCAAAACGCATCCGGAGACAGTTGAAAGTCAAAAAGCAAAAAGTCATCGGCCATGGTGAGTAGCTGACCCAAACCCCCCACCACCACCGCCACCACCAATACCAATATGAATACATCACCAACTCTCTTTAAATTCAAACTTTGTGAGCTCATAGCTTTCCATTCAAACAGCTTCTCAAATACGTAGCATAAAAGCAATAACGTCCTTCCCTTAAAAAAAAAAAAAAAGAACAGAATATGATATTTTCGGTAATTTTGTTCTTTTTTTTTTTGATATGTTAATAGTAGGAATGGAAGGTGGGAGGCATATCTTCTCCATTGGATATTTACTAAAAAGGTGGATGATAGATGCTCTTGAACACCAAAAGAGGAAAAATAAAAGTTAGATGCCAAATGCAATGTCCAGCAATTGAGAGGATTCTTGTGGAACAAGGATTTGGTAGAAAGGGAAAAAGACAGTAGAAGAGCAAGATGTTGCTATCAATTTAGCAAAGAAAATTGTGATGAGATAGACACAAATGCAGTGACAGATTCCCTTTGCCTTGCCATCAACGGAGATGCAAGAGAATCCCTCAATCAGGGAAATGCCCTCCACTACCTGGGCATTGTTGTATAGCCCATTCTAAATTATATCCTTAATCTTCTCCTCAAAGCCTCATTATAAAAGTTGCTGAAATAATCTTCCAAATCAATCAAGACCCTGTAGGAAACATGGCCCTGAAGCGGGTCATCCAGCCTCATCGGGTAAGTCCTGTGCGGTCAAACAAATGTTAACAAATTAAAAATAAAAAATGAAATAAATTTAAAACATGATTTAACAATGCACATCCAAATGCTCAAGTTTATTTTTAACATTTTCTAAAAAAAAATGGAAAAATGTAAAAAAAATATTAATGGCCAAAACAATTTCCAATATTTGCCAAAATGATCAAAAATATTAAAAAAAATATAGTACAAACAAAACCCCTTATTTTTTTAGTATTTTTTATTTTTTTTTAAAATACCCAGTTGGTTCACCAAAATCGGATGAAACCGGCAACTAATCAATTATAATTAACGTCGCGGTTAGAGTTTAAACCACCCGATTTTCCCTACGCTAGTAAGGACTGAGGTTTGAAGTTTGTCCAGAAGTGCTTACGTGTAAAAGTGTGATGCAAATACGATTTGCAGAGATCAATCTCTGTGAAGAACTTAACCAGCCACTTACAAGGAATGAAATTTCAATCAAGTCATGGCAAATCAAGACAGTGGCAAAAACTGAGAAATCTCTATGAACCACCACAAAAAATCAGAGGGATATCGAGACTTCAATTTTTTTCTCGAAATTTATGCCAGCCCTGAGGAATGATTCTCAATGATCTTCTGGCATACACAACATCATTTTTCACAGTCGAATGTGAGTTTCCGGCCTTACTGATCAAAACCGGCTTTATAAGCGTAAGCAAGCAAACAAGCCAAAAATGGATCGATGCATATCAATTTAGAGGAAAACATTCATAAACTAAACCAACTCATAAATAAATTCCCTGAAACAATGCTGGAGTCGCCATTGTGTTCTTTGTATTAGACGCCCTTGACACACAATCTCTCTGTGATGCCGAGTATTTGTTGAATGTACTCCAATTTATCTCCTCATGAATACTTTTACTTCCTAAAATTAGAAATTCCTAGCGTCTTGTGTCCTTGAATTCTTAGGCCCCCGTGAAAATTATCAGAGGGGGCTATAATTCAAATCATTGGGAAAGTATATTATAGGCTATAATTCAATCCATATGTTACAAGGACAATCTTATAGACTCACTTCACTTAGGGTATGGTCCTTCACATAACCAACTCCAAATAGTTAAAAAAAAGACTCTGATGTGCTCTTTAATTGGATTGTTCAAGGTTGCAACCTTAAAAAACCACACCCTAAAGAAGCCATAAAACTTGTAAATAATGGAAATAAAGTGTCAAATCTCCAAATAAGAATGCTAATTAAGGACTATATTTTGCCATTTCGATTACTACAATTTTCATTAGGGTCTCAATTTGGGATAAAAATATCGGAATTTGGCCAAAATTGAGAAAAAATATGGAAATCAAAGGGTGCCCCAAAATATAAGAATTTGGCCAAAATTAAAAATCTATTTTTATATTTAATTATAAAATTTTAAATTCTAAAAATAATTCAAATCAAACAAATCTATAAACACATGAAAATCTTGAAAAACGGTCCAAATAATGTGTTGCAAGATATACTATTTCACAAACTCTGAAACATTTTTTTCCAATATCCAAACAAGCTTTTACACATCTTGATGTCAAGATAATACGTTGCAAGATTCACTATTGCACAATTCAAATAATATATTGAAAAGTACATGATATCGATTAGAAGGTTTTCCAATATCCAAATAATTATAGATTTTTTTGGTGCACCTTTAATTCTACAATTAACCCGTATACATATATTATTTTACAAAACGATCCCACAGGTCCGAGCAGTTTAAACTTGACGGAACCTTCCTCCGATTCAATGGCTCGTCAGACTCAAATGACATCGCATGGGAGACAGGTGACTCATGACCAATGTTAGCAATATTTGAAAATTTTCATTTAAATATATGGATCAAGTTGTTCGGCTTGATTAAAACGTAAGCAGGTAGGCTTTAAATGTTTGAACGGATTCATGGTTTTTCTCTTGGAAATTAGCTCCCTCTTTCTCTAAATGCTCTAATGGATTCATGCTTTTAAATCCCTAAGGTCTCAGTAATTATGAGCTTTTCTTTCTCTCTCTAAAAGTTCATAAATACCAATGTTAACACGCTTGTATCTACAACATACGTGACCCATTCTCTCTCTCCTCTAAATTGAGTATAAATAAAGCAAGAAATGGATACAGAAAGGAGTTGGCAATGGGATGCATCGAGAACACATAGCTGATAGCCTCTCTCCCCTCTCTCTCTCTAGAGGGGTTATCCCTCTCAAGTAAATGACATGACCCAAAACAGGTACCTTCTCTCTCCAGGGGGTAGAGAGAGAGAGAGAGAGGGACAGCAGGCTTTAACTTGATGTCACGGCAAGGCATTGGGCAGCACAATGCCTTTTTGCAGAGGAGAGAGAAACATGGGTCGAGAGGAGGAGAGAGAGTGTTTCCGGGAAAGTTCCTGTGTTGGAAGAAGACTGAAAAGAGAGATCCTTGTAAAGAAAGGGTGGTGAATAGATGAGGAGACGCCACTCTTGCAGGCAAAAGGTGCAGTCGCAGGCACCCACAACGACCCACCGCGGTACGACCCCACGCCTCGCGTGCGCATCTCTTTCTCTCTCTACCTTAATCTCTCTCTCTCTCTCTCTCTCTAGAAGGCGCAACCATCCAGAATTTGTATTTCTCACCGTCTTGTCTTTCTGGATGTCACTTTCTCTCTCCACAGCTTCTGACAGAGTAAACCCCAACCACACAAGATCTTATCAGACCGCGTCTCATTACAACATTCTGGATACGGTCAAATAATCAAACCACTGCAATTAAATACACCGAACCAAAACCCCCACTTTTTAATGCATGATATTTAGGACTCCAAGTTCATGAAAAAAGCGTATTAAGAGAGAGTTTAAACGTAACCAGATAAAATGATTGTCAAATGCTTTGTACTCGGTGTATTAGCAAGAAAACATTGTGTTACAGTTTGAGAGAGAGAGAGAGAGAGAGAGAGAGAATGTGAGGACGGTCTTCGTTCTGGGTCTGGGTTTGTACAGAAGAGGATAACCTTTCTCTCTGTCAACACAGTAGCTGCTGCGACGGGAAAATAATCTATCATGCTCAGCCATCACGAGGAGAGAGAGAGAGAATGAGGAGATAGAAACTTTTACACATTGCAATATGAGAAACCGACACCGGCACCACCACCGGACCCCGTCTCGAACCATCGGAACCCACATGGTGCAGGCCCTTGGCTCACCCTCCCCAAAAAGCCCCTCAAAAAAAAAAAAACAAAATAAATAAAATCCAAAAACAGAAGATATAGAGAGGATGAGAGAGAAACAGCAAAAAAATTCAGAGGATTTTCTTCTTCCTTCTCTCGGAATAGAGAGTAAAGAGAGGAGAGAGAAAAGACTAAGACACAAAAATTGGTGTTTTTTAGAGAGAGAAAATAAGGAAAAGGCTTACGGAGAAAAAAATTGGTGGTGTTTCTCCCTCTCACAGTACAGGAGAATGAAGAGGGGGGAGGATAGGGAAAAGACTTACCGTAGATCGAAGTCAGTGGTGTTTTTAACTGTTTCTTCTCTATCAGTAAAGAGGAGATGAGGAAGAAAAGCAAAGCAAACTTACGGCAAGACAAAAAATGGTGGGTGCTTTCTCTCTCTACCCTTCAATAAGGTGGTCGAGCACCAGGCGTCCAGAGCACATCCGAAGGCAAGTGACAACCGAGGGGCGTCGCGGACACGCTGTAAATTGAGGACACCCCGCATGACTCGCCGGAACCTCCTGCTGTGCTCACAGGCGGTGTTGCTGCGGCCCGATTCTCGCCTGAATCGTCATCATCTGCCGGAAGCCTATGGAACGACGGGCTCTGAAATGACGCTGCCACAATCACCACCGTCCCTGCCGCAATCAAGCTCCCAACCACGGCCCCACCCACAACCTGCCCATGGGCCCCTGCCAGCGAAATGGTGAAGCCCGGTGACCCCGCCTCAGAAGAAGGTAAATACGTGGCCGAGAGAGAGAGAATATCAAATCTACCATGAAAAGTTACGGTGGCACCAGGGGTGGTGGGCTGGCGGAGGGTGACATTGGAGATGGTGCCGGAGCCGCTCATGACACAGAGGCCAAGCTGGCGGCGGCGGGCAAACGTGGCAACCGCATCAGCAATGTCATGGCCGGACGGGATCTCAAGTATGTGGGGGCGCATGGCATTCTCGCTGTCCCGTGTGAGAATGATGGGGGGCTTCGGCCTATTTTTCGAGCCCGGGGGGCGGCCCCGGGGCTTTCGGCCAGTGGTGGTGATGTCAGTGGTGGGGGTTGCGGTGGTGATGTTGCTGCTGCTTCTGGCTTTTTTCGTGGTGGCGCCTCCGCTGCTGCGGCTGTCTTCCTCTTCTGAGGTGTGGCAGTCGCGGGGCTGGAGCTTCGAATCGTATTCCGCCATCATTGTATCTCTATGGACCTCTTCTCTATCTCTTTCGCCCCTTTTCGCACTCTCCACACTGTTATGGAGCCTCAATCTTTACACTGTTCAGTGCTTTTCCTCCTCCTCCCTCTCTTTTCCCTTCTGTATCCGCTTCTCTCTCTCTCTCTATTACTTTCCCTTCTTCTCAGCCACTGTTTCTCTCTCTTATTCCTTCCAAATCTCTCTCTCTCTCTAACTTCTTTCACCTTCTCTTTTACCTTATCTTCTTCCCTCGCATCCCCCTCTCCTACCCGTCTCACCCTCTTTCTCTCTCTAGAAAAACTCTGTCTCTCTCTCTGTCTGCAAAATAGAAACCAAGAATCATCTCTTTCTCTCTCTTCCGCCGCTCTTTCACTGTCTCTCTCCCTCTCTTAAAAAATTGGAACCCAGGTTGTTGTGGTGCTACATATATGTTTATTTTAATGGCTTTTATCATTTATTTTCTTTTTTTAGGGTTTTTTTTGGAGGAGACGGGTTTTCTCATTAGGGTAGGCTTAGGTACCAAGTTATGGGGTTGGCTCGTGCCTTCTTGACCGCCCACGGATGGGCCCCACGTGTCATTCGCCGCCCTTGGGTTGCCGACCCTCGATTTTCTTCCTTTTTATCGAAAATAAGAAAATACAAATAACCGTGATGTTTGAATTGTCATGATGATCTACTATTCCACTCGATGGGCGGCCCAGATCTCTTGAACGCGTTCACACCATGCTATCTCCATAGTATGCTTCATAATGAAGGGAGTCTTGGGGTCTTGGGTGGGTTAGTGGGATTTGATTGAAAAGGGGTTTTATTCGTGTTTGTTGAGCCAAGTGGGTTCGAGCGACCCGGCCATGTTGCACCCTCACCTAATTTGAGAGGTTTGCATAACCTTTCTTTTCCATACAAAATCCCAAGAATGCCCCATGCTCCAATCATGTTGGCCTAAGCACCCATCTCCAAAATTGACTTTTTAGCCTTGTACAATGAATCAAGAATCCGGAGTTCCAATCAAAATTTGAAGGAAGAGTTGGTTTGGATTGAATTTTAAAGTTTAAGAATAATAATTCAAAAATATAGATTATATTAAAATATAATTATTAATTTTATTTTACTGGTCTAATATATCAAAACTAATATGTTTGTTTTCAAAGCTAATATGTTTGTTTTCAAAACTGATTAAATATTAATATTGATTAATTTTCGATCAAACATCAATTTTTCTTTAAACCAAGACATATCCGTATGGTACAATGTGGACAAATATAAAAGTAATTTTCTGACCAATATAGTTTTTTTTCAATTAATTTAGATCATGATTCTTAATCCGTATTTCTGCTTTATTAAAGGTTTGCCCTTGTCCTTTTTAAGCTTTCTATTTGAGCTAATTTGTACATTCTAATATGTATTCTATTAAGTCCACATCATACATGTCCAGCCCATCTAAATCTACTATCTCATTTTATTGTATATTGATATCGCATCTAAATTTTTCTAAACATAAAAGTAATTTATTGATTTTAAAAAAAGTTACGGTTCACTATTAATGATGCCCAAGAGACATTCTATAAGGATGTGAGAGATTCCTTTGCAATTGGCGTACATATATTAATAAAAAATGATATCCGTTTAGGAATGGCGAACCGTGGTTGTGTAGTTTACTTGTTAAAATGGATTGCATCTCCCATGCAATGATGCACTTCCCAATTTGGGCTTTCAAGGGAAGACAAGCTTCTCCTCTTAATATTAAAGTCCAACAAAATCAAGTATGAGAATGAGATCACATGAGATCTTTGAATTTATGCTTAAATATTGGAGATTCCGTTTTAGTGGTACTATTATAATGAGTGAAAACCAATGCAAACCTTTACTTACATTTCCTCAACGTGCTAATATATGTCATCCTAAGGTTTCTCTCTCTCTCTCTCTCTCTACTCTCTCTCTACTACTACTCTCTCTCTCTCTCTCTCTCT